GGGAAATAAGATTTTTAATTTATTCATATTTCTCAGCGAGGCAATAGAGATTTCAGTGAGAGATTTAAAATTAGGTTAGTGATTCTATTTTGCAATAAATCCTAGACACATTATCTATTTTGTTCCTTTTGTCTTTTTTACCGGCTCTTGAAAAATAAATATGCCAGTAAAACAGACTTTTTTCTGTAAATGTTTCTTATCTTGTTTGAGGTTACTACCAAAACACTTTCTCAATTAGCATCCTTTTCACAGAACACAGTACTGTACATTGACAGAATCTAATCAGTTAGTATTCCCAGCCCTAAGAAGTAATGATTGATGCTTCCTTGAGGGATGATATTTAAGTACTCATGAGTTAGTATTTTAAAATGTTTAGTGAGGCTTGACAAATATAAAGTGTTGTTAATCACAGTCAATTATTTAAGGGGATTTAAAAAAGAAAAAAAAAAACACTGAACTTAAATTTGCTCCTATTGCTTTTAATCTTTTAATTATTTGGACTTTGTTTTATAGGAATTAAAATGACAAGAAAATATCTCAACCCTCAAAAGAATTTTCTCTCTATCAGATTTCACATTTTCAGGAGCATTCAACCAAGCCTTGAAATGTCTTATCTTTCAGTCTAGTAAAACTCAAGAGTGTTGATATGAAACCATAGTTAAGCTTTCCCTTTCTCTTTTTAAATTATTTTTTCTTAAGAAGGGAGAATTAAACAGGCACGTGTTTCCCACCCCTAATTTCCTAAAGCCAGAGCCAAAGAGTAAAAAACACCCAGAGAAATAGGGTCTTCTTGTTAGCATGAGACCTCTTCAAGAAGGCAGAACTGATGACATCAGGACCAGAGTCATACTTCACGGTCTGTGTGGCTTGAAAAATATATGCCTTTGTAGATGCTTTCATTAATTTTCATTAATGCCAAACCATAGAAATTATTTTCCTCTTCCATTTGGTCTCTTTAGGATTACACCTGTCATTTCAAAGCATGCGGTTATTTTGTAGTTAAATCTATTTCTGGAACATTTGAGATGTAAACTGATGGACCTATTACTTGGTCCATTTCATCGTTTCCTATATCTAACTTCACGTTGGTTTCATAGTGCCAGTTGCAAGCCTCTCTTTCATATAGAAATTGAACCTGTTTACATATGCCAAATTTCTTAATTAGCAATTATTTGATATTAATTATTGACTTATTCTACCCCAAATTGTATTGGTTTAGATTTTTATATAAACATTATTTTTTAGTTTTACTCTATTTTCAAGAAATAAAAAGGAAAGAAGTATATGGAGAATGCTATAGAAATAGTATGATTCAAGTCCTTGAACTCCATAATGCCTATCAGTAATCTATATCAACATTTCTGTTCTTAAAATATGGTTAAGATTTGGGCTTTTATGTGTATGTTTTTGTAATCATTCTACTCTCTGCATAGAGGTTCTTAGTCTGTGAAAAGATGCCTATAAAAAACTCAGCAGAATCCTGGGATTAGGATTGATGGATTTATCAAATAAAAATAGATACCTAGTTAAATTTGAATTTCAGATAAACCATGAATATTTTGTTTAGTATCAAGGTGACCTAAATATTACATGACATTTTTAGTATAAGTCTGTCACAGGTATTGTATGGCTAATGAATAATTTTTGTATCAATGTGTCCCAAATATT